TGCTCTGGTTTCCATGTGTGATTGAAGGGAAGCCTATACCAGAAATTGCGGGAAAATAGCCTTGTTGATCATCTGTTCAATTTCAGAAATTGTTACTTTACTACATATGCATTATAAAGTATCACTACTTCGTATGCATTATAAAGTATCAATCCTAGCAGAAAAGCCTTTACACTCACAAGTCATCTGTCCTAAAAAAGTCATAGCCCGTAGTATTTTAGAAGTTTGTATACCACAAAAGTCCTATTTCATAAGACAATTTTTTCCCATGTCATTTTGAAACCAATAACAAGTTCAATATAATAAATTTAATAATAAAAAATAAATTTTAAAAATAAAATTAGCTTCCACAACTTCTAGGAAATGTACCTTGCCAACATTTAAGGTTGCACCTTGCCGAACAAGACTTTTTGGGGGGTAAATTAAATTTTAAATGATACAGAAACTAAAACAATTTATTACTTGAGGAAGAGACTGGATAATGAGCAGAAAGTCCATCTTCAGCCTTTGGGATCATATTTGCCTGAAACTCAGTGGAAGAGTAGGCCCCAGAAGTTGATTGTCTATTGTACACTGCAATATGTTATATTTCCAAAGAAATAAGTTATGCCTAGTTTTCAACAAACAGATACAGAATATGCCAGTTATTAAAATCCTCATGAGAGAGATAGACCAATAGATAAACAAACAAACCTGATTCTGCCTCTTCATATTCTGAGGCTTGAGCACTGGTAAGGCTAGCTGTATCTGTACAATGTGACGCCACTTGGTAATCATATTGGTGGAATTTTGAAGAAACTGTACTGCCTCCTTCAGAGCTGTTCACATCTTCACCTTCTGGAAAAGCGGGAATAGCTAATTGAGGTTCTCTAGTACGGTTAAAGTTCATCCGGCTACCCTGCAGAATGAACATGTTTAGATCATCTATAAGTTCCAGATGGAACCTAAGAAAACAGTAATTTTTGTAATTTCATGGATTTGAAACCATAAAAGCTTGATCCTGATTCACTACAATGGAACAAAGGGGAACACCTGTCATCATGCTGACATCAAGTTGTTTCAAAACTTAGTTTGAATTAAAAAAAGGTCATATTGTTAGCTGTGTTTGCTACAAGGATGGGGAAAGGGGAATTATATTCTACATCTAAGCATACCATGAAACTCTTGTGTTCTTTTGTAAAATTGAAAAGAAGAATACGCCTAATCCATCCATTGTTTAAAGGCAGAAGATTGGGATGAATGACGGGTCATTTAGTTGGATGGGGAGACTGTATTTTTCCTTGTTTATTTCCATGAAAAGGGGTTTGTTCAGTAGGTTAAAAATAAAATCTAAATCTTACCACTGCTTAGGTATTATTTATTCTTTATTGAAGGTATGTTCGGACAATACCCACATAAAATATGCATAATTATTTGACAAAAAAAGAATATATGGTCACTTTTGCATTTACCTTAATCCGTAAATCACTTTAAAGTTGTTAAAACAATAACATATTTATTCCCAACAATTTCATTACTACCAACTGAAAAAAATTCCCTTTTTATTAACCACATACTTTCCTGCCAAAAAACATATGTTCTTTTCTCCTATTTACTCTCTCTTGATGACTAAAAGAGTAGTCAAATAGCTTCAGTGCCCCCTGTGGTTTGGAAAATTAGAACCAATACCCCCTCTGTTTTCAAAACTTATTTCACAAGTCCTCGTAGTTTCAAAACGTTGCATCCACACCCAAGTAAAGTGAATAGCATTTTACCTTTACTTCACGGTAGTGGACTAGAACAATGTTTGACCGCTCCCTGAAAAAAACAAGTTAGTTTCTCTTTAACCTAAAATTAGGAGTAGACTAAATCACTCTAGTAGTGGAAATGTGGAATATCACACTAGCAGATTTATGTAACATACTCTTCAAGCAACCAATAGCTGCGCCTCTGGAAGTTTTCATTCCCTTCTCCGTGAGCATAATAACAATGCAAGACATCAACACTTCCAGACTAGACAAATCAATATTGAAACATCAATCAATATAAGCCATTACAGAAACACTTGCATAGTAAATAATCTTCCTAAAAGCTATCGATTCAAAACTCGTAAGATGGGTCACCTATCAAAGGACCTTGAAGATGAACATTGTTATACCACAGAATACCAGTTTATAGTATTAAAACTTTCAATCTAAGAAACTAAGACTTAATCATTATTAATTTTAAGTCTTTATCATTTTTTATTATTTTATCCCCCCCCCCCCCCCCCCGCGCACACACATGTGTGTAGAGACAGGGGGGTAATGTTACACCAAAAATGGTGTAAGATTGTGACACAAATTCAATTGGGGCAACTACAGGGCTCCATTCGTAAAATTGATGGTTCCTACCCTCTAACATTGTTATACCATAGAATACCAGTTTATAGTATTAAAACTTTCAATCTAAGAAACTAAGACTTAATCATTATTAATTTTAAGTCTTTATCATTTTTTATTATTTTATCCGGGGGGGGGGGGGGGGGGGTGTAGAGACAGGGGGGTAATGTTACACCAAAAATGGTGTAAGATTGTGACACAAATTCAATTGGGGCAACTACAGGGCTCCATTTGTAAAATTGAAGGTTCCTACCCCCTAAACACCCCTCGCCTCCCTCCCCCTGATAAATAAAACTTTTCATAATTATCAAAAGGACAAACTATCATATTTTTACCTTGAGCTTTTCGTGAGCTTCCTTCACAGTCTTCCCATCCTTTTTCTTCCTCCAGTTGTGCCCATCTTTCCGAAAATATCTCAACACCTTGCGATCAAAAAGAAAGAGTGAACCACCTGAAAAGAAACAGTTTATGCTGAATACATATCCAAGCAATCCAAAGAACGGAGTATTCTTTTAGTACAGTGCTAGTAAACCATAAATTCAAAGTATCAGACTAATTACTTTCATTCAAAACAAGTGATGATTCTTTCGTTTTGTTTTTTTATGTTTATGCCATTCTTATTATTATCAATTTGACTCTAGTGCGGATTAAGAGGGTCTAGACAAGATTTTTTTGAAGAAAACATTTCAGCACATCCCCAAAGAAGAAGATAGGTCCTGCAAAGTGCAAACTGTCCCCGACATGTTTCATTCCTCATTAAGGATGTGAGTGTGTGAGAGTGTACTTGCTGCACACACCCTACATGTCAACTCTCAATCAAACTTATCTAAAAGGTCATACTTGGAGGCCTATTTGGAGGCTCAGGAGCAATCCGAAATTTCTGGTAATTTGTAAGTATTTCACATATTTCAGCTGGGCGCAGCCAACGGTGTTGTGCTTCTAACAGTATCTGCTCAATATCTGCATTCACCAGAAACCTTGTTAGAGTGTTTGCAAAAGTATCATAGAATGCAGATTCTCTTCTCCAAACAGATAATAGTGTTCATGTGCATGCTAGATGTGGAAAGGCAGGGAAGCTAATGCATAATAAGCGGGAATCCCATTAAGAATCATCAATGTTAACTTTAAATAGCAACACTGTAACACTACAGCTGCCAGTGAGTCAGTTACAAGGAGATAAATGTCTAAGACATCCTTCAGTGACCAGTACTGAGCACATTTTGACTAACTACTCATATGTAGTATATTTCAAAAGTCTAAATATATTTCTCAGCATGAATAATGGCTACCAGTCTTAGATATTACTTGGTAATTGGTTAGGGTTGGCGAGTTTCAAAAGCGATTGTGATATCTATTTTATTAATAATTCTTTCATTTAGATGGTTGAAAAAAAAGTACATATGAAAACTTTTTTACAAAAAGATGCAAGATTTAACTAAAAATATATTCCGTAGTAGTTATTTTCTTGTCTAAAAATAACAAAAATAGATAAATTAGTAAATGAAGAACCAGTGTTCCCCTTCCCTCCCGAATCCCCCCAAACCAAACAAACCCATAAGGCATCCAATTGTTGTTTCATCCAGCAAAATTTTATAAGGTTCATAATTTCATTCTCAGCATTACTACAAATAATATTCATTGTGTCTTGTGTGGGCAATATCAGCAATGAAGGCTTTTCTTTTTTAGTGAACTCGAAAAGCATTTTACTTAACTAAAAAGTGTTAAACTATTGTGGAAGCAGAATAAATTAGTTTTAATGCACTTTCTCCATCACAAACAGATCATCTCAGATATCATGATAAAATCGACAAAGAGATTGAAAGTGAAGGAATTACCAACCTACTTTTTTGGGTTAAATAAAAATAGAGTAAAAGGTAGTAAATATGTGGGCTGTTGAGGGTAAAAGTGTCTTTCATAACAAAAAACAGTAAGTTTATGCCAAAAAAGAAAAGGGAAAATCATTTTGGGACATCTAAAAAAGGAAAGTGAAAAGACTAGTTTGAAAGGAATGGAACTGAAATGTTTAAAAAAATAGGTCCAAGGGGCTTAGCTAGTCATTCCTCATGTGAACGCTAGTTGATATACTGAGTTATTCTTATTCCTGTTTTTCCTAGATTAATTGAATATAGACAGTCAACTTTGAGCAATGTTATATGTTTTGTTGCACACATACCAAGGATACATATTGACGCGTCACAGACACATAGGTTCTATACTTCCAGGAAAAATATTAACACACGCGGGTTGCAGGATATACTATCCTTGACCTGAAATATTTTAAAACTACTGCATTTCGAGTGTTTGAGCTACAAACCTCAGAAATCAAGACTTCCAACATCCCAGAAAATGAGATATCGGACATGTACTTATCTATGAATACTTGTTTGGATGGGGTCTTTTGTTGGAAAGGGGAAAGGAACATTTTTTTTACTAATTTATCTCTACTCGTTTATACTCTCTTCGATCCATATTCGTGTTCATAGACACAATTCACATGGTCAAACCACATCTTTCTTTACAGAATTCCATTGAACATTTGATAGAATAATATACCCAAGCCGCCTTTTGCTTTATAAAACCTTTTATGCAGTTTTGAATACGATTATATAAATTTTATTTTTTAAAAATTTCATTCGTGTTCATAGACAGATTGATGAGACACGAAAGGGACTTAATGGCAAGTTAGAGTTATGGCGCCTTTCCTTGGAATCGAAATGTTTCAAGCTAAGTAGGACTAAAATTGAATACATGGAATGTTGTTTCAGTGGTGGAGTGTCCGGCTTAGCATGGAATGTAGCTATTAGGGCATATCCTGGGGTTGGGACGGGGGTAGGAGGGTCGCAGAGGGGTAGTGTAGTGTCACATGTGCGTTTCGGCTCATGGAACATAGGGACCCTCACGGGTAAGTCGATTGAGTTGGTGCAAGTTCTCAAGAGGAGAAGAATTCAGGTGGCATGCGTGCAAGAAACCAGGTGGGTGGGCACTAAGGCGCGAGAGGTTGATGGTTTCAAATTGTGGTATTCAGGTTCAGCTAGGGGAAGGAATGGAGTCGGCATTCTGGTGGTGCCGGAGCTGCGAGAGTTTGAGGTGGAGGTGAAGAGGATTAGTGATCGTCTAATGTTTATCAAGTTGGTTTTGGGTGGCTGTGCGATCAATGTCGTGAGTGCTTACGCCCCGCATGTTGGCGACGAAGTTAAGAAGGAGTTTTGGGACGCCTTGGATGGGGTGGTTGTTGGTTTTCCACTGACTGAAAAAGTCGTCATTGGAGGCGACTTCAATGGCCATATTGGAGAATCGGCCGATGGCTTTGAGGACGTGCACGGTGGTTTTGGCTTTGGCAGCAGGAACCCATCAGGAGTCTCACTCTTGGAGTTTGCCAAAGCGAGTGATTTGGTGGTTGCTACCTCGTGTTTCCCTAAACGAGACGACCATTTGGCTACATTTGTTAGTGGAGTGGGGACGACACAGATCGACTATCTTCTCTTGCGCAGGTGTGATCGGGTGCTCTGCAAGGATGCTAAAGTAATTCCGAGTAAAAACGTCACTACCCAACACAAGCTTCTCGTGATGGATGGTATGATCAGGTGGGAGAAACATAGGAGAGTTTTGAGTGGCAACACACAAATCAGGTGGAGGAGACTAAGTGCGGAGAACATCGCTGAGTTGACCAGGCGAGTGCAGGAGAAAGGTGCGTGGGAATCGACCGGAGAGGCTACAGATATGTGGGTGCGAACTGCTAACTGCATCAGGGAATCAGCCAGGGAAGTGTTAGGTGTGAGCTCTGGCTCTGGGAGTAGGCGTCGGGGTGATTGGTGGTGGAGCGATTCCGTCCGAAGTAAGGTGGAAGCTAAGAAGGTGGCGTATTTGAGGTACATGGGCTGCAATGTTGAGGAGGAAAGAGCGGCGTTGCGAGTGGAGTACAAGAAAGCGCGTAAAGAAGCTAAGTTAGAGGTAACGAGGGCAAATAATGCCGCTTTTGAACGCCTTTACAAGGATATTGAGGAGAAAGGCAGTGTTAATCCACTGTGCCGGCTTGCTAAGGTGCGCGAGAGGAAGGCCCGAGATCTAGACCACGTGAGATGCGTGAAGGACAGCGATGGTAGAGTGTTAGTTGAGACTGCCAAGGTGGCTAAGCGCTGGGGGAAGTACTTTAGTGAACTCTTAAATGCGGGAGGAGACCAGAGGCTAGTTCTTGATGAGTTGGGACATCCTGGGGCATCTCGTGTGTATTGCCGGCGCATTTGCTTGGAAGAGGTGGTTCGGGCTCTCCGCGTGATGCGTAATGGGAGAGCTGTGGGACCAGATGAGATTCCAGTGGAGTTTTGGAAGCATGCGGGTCGTGATGCGTGGGTTTGGTTAACCAAACTCTTCAATGTTATCCTCCGGACAACATGGATGCCTGATGAGTGGAGGGAGAGTCTCTTGAAGGCAAAGGTGACATTCAGAGCTGCGAGAATTACAGATGCATCAAACTGCTTAGCCACACCATGAAGGTTTGGGAGCGAGTTATCGAGTATAGGGTGCGGAAAGAGGTTTGCATCTCGGAGAACTAGTTTGGTTTCATGCTTGGCAGATCGACTACAGAGGCCATTCATCTCGTGAGGAGGTTAATGGAAGAGTATAGGGCTAGGAAGAAGGACCTTCATATGGTGTTTATTGACCTTGAGAAGGCGTATGATAGGGTGCCAAGGGAGGTCTTATGGAGGTGCCTTGAGGCGAGAGGAGTTCCCATCGTGTACACTCGCGCGATCAAGGATATGTACGATGGGGCTATGACCAAGGTAAGGACTTCCAGGGGCGTCTCAGATTCCTTCTCGGTAGGGATGGGGTTGCACCAAGGGTATGCTCTTAGCCCTTTTTTGTTCGCCTTGGTGATGGACGTCCTAACTCAAGGTGTTCAAGACGGGGTCCCATGGTGCATGCTTTTCGCGNTTTCGTTATCTTGGCTCGGTAATTCAGGCGGATGGGGAGTTAGATGCGGATGTTGGACATCGGGTTGGAGTGGCTTGGGCCAAATGGCGGTTAGCTTCAGGGGTGTTGTGTGATCCGAAGATTTCGCCTAGAATGAAAGGTAAGTTCTATCGATCCGTAGTCAGACCTGCTATGTTATATGGGGCAGAGTGTTGGGCGGTTAAGAAGACTCATGTGCGTCGTCTGCATGCGGCGGAGATGCGGATGTTACGATGGATGTGCGGGAAGACAAGGTTGGATAGGATTTCGAATGAGGTTATCCGACGTCAAGTAGGTATGGCACCGGTGGAAGACAAGTTGCGGGAAGCGAGGTTGAGGTGGCTTGACCATGTGAGACGGCGGGATGCTGATGCCCCTGTACGGAGATGCGAGAGGATTACAGTTATCAGGGGAAGTAGGGGAAGGGATAGACCTAAGAAGAATTGGGAGGAGGTTATAAGACAGGATTTAGGACTTCTCGACCTGACTGAGGATATGGCCCTAGATAGGAACCTTTGGAGAACTAGGATTAGAGTAGCTGGATAGGAGGTCGGTGTTGTAGAGGTTGTTTTGTAGTGTGTTGTATTTGTTGGAAATCTTTTGCTATTGTTTGTACTTGTTGCTTGTACTTGGTGCTTTATCTGTGCTATACTGTGTTCTCTTCCATATTTTTGTGCAGGTGGAGCCGGGGGTCTCTTGGAAACAGCCTCCCTACTTCCGAGTAGGGGCAAGGTCTGCGTACACACACCCTCCCCAGACCCTACTGTTGTGGGATTCAACTGGGTTGTTGTTGTTGTTGTTGCCTAAGAGAGACAAGTTTAGCCATCTGGGTTCAATCGTCCAGACTGATGGGAAGATAGACGGGGATGTTGCTCATCGTGTTGGAGCGGTTTGGGCCAAGTGGAAGATGGCATCAGGGGTACTCTATGACAAGAAGATTTCGGCAAGGATAAAAAGGAAGTTCTACAGGTCTGTTGTGAGACCAGCCATGTTATACGGAGCAAAGTGCTAGGCAGTTAAGAAAACTCAAATTCACCAGCTACATGTGATATACCCCCGGTACCTACGAAAGTCCTTAAACAAATTACCGGATTAATGACTAAATCCTACGATCCTTTTTGGAATGAATTTACCCCTCCTAAACCCAAACCCTTAGCCATAATTTCATTGGATTTTTCCTCACCCTAAAATAAACCCAAACAACCTGTTTTCTTTCTTTACTGCCCAGGCCGTACCCCCTTACCCCCACCCTTTCTCATCAAAAACACACCCCATTAAACTCACCAAAATGACCCACAAATATTTCATCCTTTTCCCTTCAATTCTGGCCGAAACACAAGAGCCAAAACAACACATATCATCCCCATAATAAACCCCAACACATGGACCCCCTTTGTTCCCTACCCAAACAGCGCACACACCCTCCATTTTAACCACCAAATAAGCCCTACAAC